AAGAAAATGGTTCTATTCCTGAAGCCGCAGTTTGTGGCCTCGCTGGTCCGGGAGATGTTGGGAATAGGTCGTCGTGGACAAGTTAAGGCTTGTACGTGCAAGGTCAACTGCCCTTGGCTGTTTGTCCAGTTTGTTTTTGGACAGGTTTGCAAGTCTAGGAGCCTCGCCGGTTGTAGTAGATGGTTCAAGGTATTTGATCACCAGATGATACTGACGTTGACCTCTGTCTCTGAGGGGGCGCAGTTGTCACATGTCTTCAGCGCAGTTGGCAGAGATACAGCGCAGGATAGCGAACGTGTCAAGGCGCTTGCGAAGGATGCAACAGCGGACACAGCGACGTGCCCGCGTCCTCCAACTTCAAACCCTGCTGGTGTACATCTATTCAGGACATCAGTCCGATGTGGCTGCCCGTTTCTGGGTTTCTGAGACAGGAACCTCCTTGTCCTTGGGCGAGGCTGCCGCTCATGTCGAGTGGTTGTACATCAGTGCCAGTGTTGACGAGAAGGTGGAGATGATGCTCCATCCCCGGTGCAGTCTTGGCCTGCGTCCTCTCATGGTGGCCTTGCGGTTCATCGTGGAGCTGCAGCTTCTCTCTTGGGTCCAGTTCCAGAACTACGAGTGTGGAGTCGCTCCATCACGAAAGATGTTGCTTGATCATGCTCAGTCTTGTGTGCCCAAGGATCTGCCTCCATCCCTCACTGCCCGAATTGCTCCGCCCTTTCAGAACTGCTCGCAGCCAGCGCAAGGCCTTGGCTGCTTTCAGAATGAAGCATCGGTGCAAACTTGGAAAATTGCGGTCGGAGGCTCCCATCCCACTAGCCGAGAAGCAGGACAAGGCAAGAGTCGGTCGGGCCGGAGACCGTGTGCGATGACTGGAGACTTTAAATAGCAGCAAGTGTTGGGCTCACTAAGCCCTTGCTGCGTTCTTGCCTCACTTCGCGGGTTTCATTTTGGGGTCAGGAAAACGGACGCCAAAAAGGTGTCCGCATTTTGTGGTCAGTGAGAGCGCGTAAGGACATTTCTATTTGTGGGGTGCATGGGTGGGCCAAAAAGGGACCCCAAAACGGGGGACGGAAAACGGACCTCAAAAGCGGGTACAGATTTGATGATTTTTTGGCTACTGCAGGCTCTGGCGTTCTACCAGTGGTGCAACTATTGGCAAGCGAACGCAGAGCGCGAGCCCTTGGTCATCAACATGGATGAGTCAAGCCTTGCTTTTCATTGGAGCGGCTTAGTTGGAACAGTTGCGGAGGCAGCAGTGAGTGTGGCGACAGACAAGGCCAAGCTCAGCAGCCGAAGGGCGCGGTGACGTACCTTTGTTGCATCACGCGCGACAGCGCAGTGCAACCGTTGCTCCCGCAAGTGTTGCTGGGCAATTCTCGGTCCTTCCCCTTAGAGTTTGTGAAGCAGGCTGCAGAAGTTGAACCGGGCACTACTGTTTGGCGGGAAAAATCCGCTTGGAATTCACACAGGTTGACGCGGAAGTTCCTCCGGTTGCTGTGTGCCCGTTTGGGCGACTTGTTGAAGACGCGCAGCGTGGGCTTATTGCTCGATTTCGCTCCGTGCCATGTGCATGATTCGATTTTTGAATTGGCCCGAAGCGCGGGGCTGCGCTTGTTGTTTGTCCCCCCTGGCATGACGCCACTTCTGCAGCCTTGTGACACCCACTGCCTTGCAGCCTTCAAAAATAACGCCCAAGAGAATTGGAGGGTGAAGAAGAGTGAAGCTGGTGGGCATCCAACTCTGTTGATGTGGTTCCAAGCTGTGGCAGCTGCAATCCATGACCTTGTTCATAGAAATTGGGCTCGGGCCTTTGAGAGTGATGGAATTCTGCAGCAACAGCGGAACATGTCAAGTCATTTGTTGAAGCAGCTACACTGGAGTACCGCGCCCCAGGTCTCGCCAGTGTGGCCCAGCGAGGAGGTGGCAACTCTACTCTTTCCGCGCAACTGGTGTGGGAACCGTGCGAAACATATCAGTGGAAACCCTGACGTGTGGTACATTCGTACTTTGAATTAGTTTCACCTTGGACCGCCGAAAAGCTGCAAGTGTGCACAGGGGAGGCCATCTAGGGTGGCTCAGAAAAAGTGGGGGGGAAGTGTACCCGGCTTTGGGGGACGTCAAATTGCCAGGAGATGCTGCAGGCCGACTTGCAGAAATTGAAGGAGGACAGAAAGAACTTGCGCAAAGCCATCCGCAACAACCAGAAGGAAGCCCGCAAGCAAGCCAAGCGCAAGCAAAGGTTGGTCAAGGCCGCGCTGACCGTTATGTTTGCGTTTTTGCAGCCGGTCTTAGCTGCAGGCCGCCAAGATGTTGTCGAAGGCAGACCTGGAGCTGTTGATTCGGGCCAAACAGGTGGGTTCCATCTTACCAATGAGTGTGGTCACTTCTTTGCAAGCCAGGACCAAGAGGCAACGACAGAGGAGAGAACTTTTGAGGTGAAAGTCTGCCAGCTTTTAACGCACGGTCTTTTTGTTCCTTTCCCTGCAGTCGGTGACGTCAGGAGGCTGCAGCCCCACGCGGGATGTCCGGTCAACCAGTCCAGCCCTTGTCCTGTCAAAGTGCGATTGTCTTTGGACACTTTTTGTGTTTGAGGTGGAGAGGCCTTCGGAGTGAGGGTGACGCAATGTGTCAGGATGAGCCGAGGCAGATCTTACAGCGCAGTGCAGGGCACACCCTGCAGCTGCTTCCGTCAGCCCGTAGTCTTGACAATCTGAAAACTTCGGACACAACGAGAGTGGAAACAGCGCTTCACTTGGCGTTTTCTTGAAAAATTTGCTCTAGAAACTTCCGATTCTAGACCGATGCAGCATGACAGAGAGCTAGCTAGAATGTCTGTGGACTTGAGGCGAATGCACTGGGGTTTAAGCAATTGTCACTAGCTACAGCCTGAGGTTCGATGCGTGGAGTGGTTGGCCTTGGAGCGGTCGTCAGCTCAGTATTGTTGACGGGCGCTAGGCGCGGTTGGTGCTTTTTTTGTGCCAAGCCGCAGCTTTTTCGACGGCAAGCAGGGTTATGTGACACGTGGGTTTATGTTGTTTGGACCGCAACCCGTTCGTCGTAACAGTCCAGGGCATCACTACATTGAACTTGTCCACTTTTGAATATGGTGTGCACGAGTTGCAACTGGACATAGCTTTGTAAGAAGTGGCTGGCCGGAAAAGTCGTAGCGCGTTGACAACATTGCATTTGCAAGGCCTTGTGCTACAAGATGGTTTGAGAGAAGCGGTTCGTATTGAGGTTCTACCGGAATAGCCCTTCCAATTGTTCCACAGGATTAGAGCGTTAAGCGTCTTGGTGGCCAAGTGCTTTTCGTGTCTATACTCTACCTTTACTCAGGCCTGGCTGGTGGTGATCATTTGGGTGTGGATCCTACTGAGTCTAATTCACCGTTTTTTCACTTTGCTCAAGCTTTGCAGATGGTCATGTGGATCCAGCACTCTACGCAAACTCTGCAGATTCCTTTCTCTTGGCTGACCTTGCAAACAGTGTGTTACAGACATGTGCAGTTTTTGCGAAGTGTGTTGTCGTCCTGTGACGTGGATGTAGCCGATTCGAAACAGTCATTGTACATCCATCAGTCCGACGCCGCTGCGTGAAATCTACAACTCGGAATCATCCGTACGTCGGAACCGGTCATTTAGAAGTAAGTGGCTTGGAACCCGTAGCTCGGAACCCGCAACTGGGCAACTTGGAATCCGCAGCCCCGAACCCTTCACTCAGAAACCGTAATTGGGAATCCGTACTTACTATTATCTCAGGTCTGGCAGGCTTAGGGTGGACAGTGGTCATTCCCCAGAGTGATTAGAACCTGATACCATTTTGGCTCAAGTGTACTTAGACTACGTCATGTGCTTCTCGGGGCAGCAACGCTTTGGACAAAGCGCGTGGTAGAATCCTCCAAAGGGAACGGGACTTGGAGCCCTTCTAGAGGCGCGCGACGTGCGGCCTGGTGGAGGCGCACGACCTGCCTGTATAGTATTATAAACCCCAAAGTGTCGATGATTGGGCTGGCCCATTTTTACAATGTTTTTGTTGGGCGTTTCCTCTTGGCCAGTGTTGGGCTAGCCCATGTTTACCAGTGTTTTGGCTGGGCTTGGGTTGGGCTATTGTTGGGCTGGCCAATTTTTTACCAGTGTTTTGGCTAGAGTCGGGTTGGACTGGCGTTGGGCCCGTTTTTAGCAGTGTTTTGCCTGGACTTGGGTCCGGCTAGCGTTGGGCTAGCTCATTTTTGGCAATGGGCTTGGGTTGGGCCAGCTCATTTTTAGTAATGTTTTGGTTGGGCTTCCATATCTTCCAGTCGCCGGCAACCCTGCGAGGGCGTCTATATCGGAGGTTGAAGCAAACCGAAAAACAATTTGAATTCAATGCCTTTTTGGGTGGCTAGTGTTGTGCCAGCCCATTTTTGCCAGGGGTCGCGTTAGGAGCAGCTTATAGCTGAGCTGCCACCTCATCTTTTGTGTGGGCAGGGTTGTGGATGGACGCAGCCCTCTGGTAGAGACAGTGTCGCTCCACGGTTGCGGACGGTTGCGGACGCTTGCGGACGCTTGCGGACGGTTGCGAACGCTGAGACCACGGGTCCTCTACCCCCAGACCCCCAGAGTCAAACGAGAAGCCTTCGCGACGCATTCGGGAAAAACAAACAACAACACAATGCTCCCAGTATGTTTGGTGCGCGCAACACTGTCAGTGGAATGATGCCCATGCGCCTTTCTGGCTGTCTTCTCTGACGAGCTTGTGGCTCATAAAACACCGAGTGTGAGAGAGTTGTAGTAGCAAGTGAGCAGGCTGTCGTCATGGCGGCGAAAGCGAAAGCCGTGGCCAAAGCAAAAGCAAAGCCGACTGAGTTAAATGTTGCCTCTGCCTTTGTGGGTTTTGATGACAAACCGCGGACCCCACTTTGGTGTCAAGAAAATGGTTCTATTCCTGAAGCCGCAGTTTGTGGCCTCGCTGGT